AAGGAACAGCAGCAGAGGAGGAAAGAGAAGAAGGCAAGATGACGATAGTATAAAAAAGAAAAAAAAGAGAAGTTTTTTTTTGATGATGATGCTTTCTGGAAGAGGAGATCAATTCGCTGGGGTATTTGATATGCAACAATTTTAAAGTTGGAAATATCTATGGACATTATGTCGCAAATCAAACCAAATCATCCGATAGATGGATGGATTGCTGGCTGCTTGGAATGGGGAGATGGACAGATGGGATATATGGTTGGGGATTTTTTTGGTGGTGCTGAGAATGCACTCTTTTCTCATCTATCGTCATCATCATCCATAGATTTATAGAATGTTGGAAAAGCTGTTTTTCACTTTCTTTTACTCTGTTTGATAGGATACACGAAGACAGATACACACACACACACACGCAATTGCATATACATAACGCATAACAAAAGCTGTTAATCGCTTTATGCAACTTGTTTTCAATGGCCAAAAATTTTTTTGTTGCCCAAATTCTGCGTCTAAAAAAGTTGGACTTTGCTCTGTAAAACTTCTTCTCTTCGTCATTATCACTGAGCATTTTTTCTGCCTCAATTTATACCTGCTTAAACTGTTAACCGGTCTTCAAGGACACAGTTTAGCAGACAAATTTTTTTTGTTGCTAATTTTGGTCAATTTATCTCTGAAGGATGTGTAATGGAAGTGGTGCTATTGACTTTCTGAATAAAAAAAAAAGGAGAGGAGAGGAGAAAAGAAATGAAGCAAAAATTTAGTGATTTTGACATCTGATCAAAAATTACTGAAAACATATGTGGCAGTATTGCTGTCGTTCATATGATGGTCTTGGTGACTGGTCTATATCGTCAATTTCAATTTACATATTTAATGTATCAGCAACTTTATTTTCAGATGCTGATGAACAATGGCAAGAAATTGAGCACCGAATAACTTATAAAATGTATAAGAGTTTGAAAATAAAGTTTTTTAGAGAAAAATATCAAGAAATAGAGGACAAAAAAAAGAAAAAAAAAAAGAAATTGTTTTAATGATTTATGTTATGCTCAGTTTTTTTTCTTGAAATATTTCTTTTTATTAAAATAAGAAAAAAAAGAACAACGACTTTAGATTCAAAAATTTGCTGGTTGTGTGCTGCGCGGACTACACATGTACAATGGAATAGATATCACGGATAAATCGATGTAGTCAAATAGTTGCTAGTTCTATCTTTTCTAGCTAAAACTTTCAATCTGTTTCTTAGAATTTATGTCTATTGTTATCAAGTTTAACACTTTTACAGAAGTAGCTTCAGTAGTGAACGTAAAAGTCTGCATAGCTTATGTAAAATACGTGAATCTGCCAGTAGAGTTTGGCCACTTTATTATGGGAAATTTTCTGATACGAAAACTCTGCTAAATCTTTGGCGCTTTTTTAGCAGCAATTTTTCAAAAGATCAGCGCAAATATGCCAGTTTTTTTACGTCGACGTCCATTATTTCTGATAAATGTTTTGGGGTCAAATTGTTTTTGCTGTTCTCGCATTAAGTGATTTGTAAGTATGATTGTTTTGAAACGGTAAACTGCAACGGCTATTGGTGATATAATATATACTATAATAGTATAATAAATGTATTTGTATATCGATACATAAAGCTGCGTATTTTTTTTTCAGTTTTTTTTTTT